AGAGCATCCATTTTGCCTGTAGGGGAGTGCCTCCCACTAACTTCTGGTGGGGTCCCCCTCCAGTACATACTGCTCAATAAACACTGCAGTGAAGCCTCAATTATTCTGCATTTGTGTCCTGTGTTTTGATTCCACAAGATCATTCCAATTTCTGTAATTATACAGAGGACTGCATATGACCCCAGTGGCCAAGATTAGTGAACCCTGATCTAACACTAAGAGATAGTGTTTCCCTGCTCCTTTCAGTCCAAGTATTCCAACAATGTCCTGTAAATAAATTACAGAAACTGCAGCGAGATGCAGGAAGCTCTATTTCATGCATCCATCGGGCAAAAGGATAATATGCTACCCAAAAATTATTCAGCCCAGCTAATATTTCAGATATAGGCTGAATATGAATTCATTACATCAGAGAGGAGCTAAATAGAGAGGTCCTGATAGTACAGGTGGCTGGAGGCACAATTAATCATTTTGGGGAAGGAGACAGACACAATACACTAGATCAGTGTTTCTCAACCTTGGCAACTTTAAGATGAGTGGACTTCAACTCCCAGAATTCCCCGGCCAGCATAGCTGGTTGGGGAATTCTGGGAGTTGAAGTCTACTCATTTTAAAGTTGCTAAGATTGAGAAACACTGTGCTAGATGGGACTCCATCTTGCACATAGATGGGGCTTGGATTTTAAGGCTTTGTGGGGCACTTTTTTTTTTTAAATAAAACAGAAGCTAATCCCATGTTAAGCTTAGCTTGTAACTTTCCCATTTCAAAATGACACACAACTGAATTTCAGTGGGACACTCGGACGAGGGAACCACAAAAAGGGGGCTTTCATCCTCCACCCAAGCCCTAGTGATATAGTAATGGTACATTTAAATGCCACACTCAGATCCAGATGTGCTTATCAATGTAAAGCAGTCACAGAGAGCCCAGTTCCAGTTGAGACTGTAGTCCAGGGGGCACAAGTAATTGGATTAACCTCTTCATCCCATGGGATTTGGGAATAAACAGGCACCTGAGAATTTTTGTTAGTTTATTTTGACCAGGGCAACAAGGCAGACAGTGTAGGAAAGCTACCATGGGTGAAAACCCTTTCTGAAGGTGCAATCCCTACCTGGCTCCTCCCACATTTGCTTTGGGTGATGAAAATAGGAAGCTGCCTTATACCATCGCAGATTGGTCCATCTAACCTAAATCATACCTGTTCTGACTGTCAGTAGCTTTTCAAGATTCCAAAGGCTCAGCCCTACCTGGAGAGGTCAAGCATAGGACTTAGAAGCCTTCTCATGCGTGGCATCTCCTTTCCCACTCTATAAAGGAAGAAGGAGGTATACCATTTAAATAGCTTCCTAATGTAACATATATTTAATGCTCATCTAATCCCTGTAGATTCCTATTTGCTTATTTAGTAGTGCCTTTTTCTTTTAAAACACACACACACACACTTTTGCCTGTGCTTTAATTAGTTTGCTACCTACAGGTCTGTAGACCTACTGTCTTTGAATTTTGACAGTCTGCATGGGGTTGTTGTAGTGGTTGTAGTTGTAGGCAAATCTACCCCAGAAAAGGCATGGGCTGTGCATTTTTACCTACTGTCCAGTGGAGTTTCTTTTCTACATTGCTGTTCCATATGAACATATTAATGCATATCAGTGCATGAATCCTGTAGCCATGCAGGCAGGATTAACTGGTTGGAGGTGGTAGCGCAGTTAATCTTTCCACATCAATTACAAAAGTTTAAGTTTGATTCAATTTAATTTTTGCTTTTTCTGTTTGTTTTTTAATGCAGACAGTGTCTGCTAGACATACTGACAACAGCGAGTTGGAAGACAGAGTAGAGATTAGGGTTGGGAGTGACAGAGGCATAGAAAGTGGGTGATGAGAGTTGGACTATCGCATGCAGTGACAGCCAAAAGGTGAAGAAAGGAGACTTAGCAGAACATTACCTGACAGTCTGGCAGCGTTGCCTCCTGGCTAGTTGTGAGCCGTGTGGCGGTAGGAAGGCAGCAGGCTGCTGACAATCTACAAGAGACTGATAAATTAGGCATATATACAAAGAGATGACACAAAAGGTTAGTAAGTAATAAACAGACAAGGCAGGTGGTAGAAGAGATTTAGTGAGGAATGTGTGCTCTATTTACAAGCCAAGAGGAATGAACTATTAAAGCATTCCTTTTGCTGAAAATTCCAAATCTGCCCATAATTTAGCAGTATAAAGGGCTTTTTTAGACATAATGAGTTTCTTATATTCACGCCTAGTTTGTAACATTCTAGAATGATTTTTTAAGCTAGGATATCTCTGGGCCAGTCGCATTGCTGTCCTCAAATGTTTTCTAGAATGTAAACAGTCGGAATCAAACCAGTTTCATAAATGCTGACAGAAACACTCAATTTTTTTCAAACAGGAGTCTTATTTTAAAGATATACCTGACTTGCCCTGAATTAACATACTAAAAACATAGGGCAGATTCAGACTATATTCTAAAAGACCACTTGGTAATCTGAATGGTATTTTGGGGTCCTCGGATTGGTATCAAATGCAGATGTGCAACAAGATTAGTCCTTGGCGAAGAGCATTTGGCGGTGACTTCAACTTGGAAAATGGTTTTGCTTCTCTCACAGCAAAATCTGGTGGAAAAACTACTATATTTGGATTGAAAAACATAAATCGTTCATATTGATTAGGGGCAAAGGGACTGGGATTAACTCTGACTATATCTGAATCAGGCTATTAATAAATTTATTCCTGCCAAGTTCCTAATCAATATCTGAATTAACCATAAATATGAGTTCCCTTGCTTGGTGTTAAGCGTATCCAAACACTGTCTTATTTCTGTGGAGGTCTACACTGCCCTCCAATGGCATATATATGGTATGCCTGTCTAAGCGAATTATGTTAGTACTGTAGTAGTGTATTTTATGACCTTGAGAAGGACGGTGCTACATTTCACACAGAGAAATTTATCATTTATTTATTACATTTATTATTTAACCAACACAGCTGTAAAGTGCTGAGTAGGGCTCTGAGAAAAGCCATTTATATTTAAGATTTGTAACTGCATTTATAATTATATACTGAAAGCCTGGAAAAATGCAGGATAGACACATTTAGAAATAATAAAAATGTTTCATCAGCAGAACTCAGAACTGAAAAAGAACTTGGAAAAGGGAGAATTTCCCTCACAAAAAATCCTGTTAGATTACTTTAAAGATGTAATTGCATTCAAGAATTTAGATGGATATGTTCAACCACATTTTTCCTACTAAGCTCTAGAGCAGTTAGAGAGCAACCTACATGGAATACAAAATGCAGTTGATTTATGGTACTTATTTCTAGTTCTTTTTGTTTTTAAAAGCAGGAATTAAAAGCAAGCTCCAGTGTTTTAGAAAAAAATAATAAATGTAAATGGTGGCATTTTATATAAGGACTCTATAAGCAGGTGCAGGAAGGTTTTCAGTAAGGATTTTAATGATTTTAGAATCATCTTATAGTTTGATTGCTGGAAGATTGTTTGAATTTGGGAACTTTATAAATTAAAATGTTATATGTGGTGAATATATATATATATGAAATACAAATAATCCTCTTCCATATGATATATTAATACATACTAAAGACAAAGCTACATTCTTACATTCTATGTAAGTTGAATCCTTATATTCTAGTAATGCTGTGGACCATCTCTAAAGTTATCCTTTTTTTTTCAATGGAGCTGAAGTTATTTTGACACCTATGAATAAGCATCAACCCACCTCTTGACCCCTAGATCCCAGCTATCAAATAAGGAAGGGTTTGATATAGGAACATAAAAAAGCTTAGCAAGAATAGGCCTGCTGTTACAAGAATCTATCACCTATAAATGTCTTTGACCTGTTTTCCTGTTTCTTTAACTTTGGTTCAGTAAAGCATGAATCCATTTCCAGCTTCTCACAAACCATAGGAAAGGCACATATACATACAAAAAGCATTAAAACTTGCCTCCACAGATTATATTTCATCGCCTGAGAGATGGTTGTGCCTTTATTGGTGCTGAGCTAAGCTAAACTAAGCTAAGCTAAAGATTAATTTTACATTCTGAGTAATTTTCTAGCTACTTCATATTGGCCCAGTTTGTAGAATTAAAATATAATGAACTGGACTATATACTTTTGTTTAATAAACAAAAAATTATGGGGATACCTGGGATATTTCAAAGTATTTTGTAGTATATCACTGTAGCATCCTAATTCTTACCTCAAAAGAAAACCTGAGGGCAGAAAATAGACACGGAGTAATTTAAAGAAGTTCCCATTTTTCCTAGCAGTTGTATCAAATATATCCTTTCACTTTTGTGGATTGACACACTGTACTAAATGATATGTGATGTATTTGGTTTTGGCTTATTGTGATCTAAACTAAGGCTTACTGCAGTATGTGAACCTAGTGAGTCTATGCATGTTATTATAAATTGGATTCACACGTGTGATGCCATGCTTTAATCAAGGATTACTGGATTACACTAATCCACAATTGGCTTATTCATACAACATGCAAAACCAAAGTCAGACAAACCATATTAGAGTGTGTTGTGCAAGCCAACTTAAATCTTACACCTGGCATTTCATCCACATCAAGGTGTCAAGGCGACTCTGAGGGTTAACAGAGGAATCACTCCATACAATATGCTGACAGATGGCTCCATGGCACATCAAATACCCTGGATCACAAAAGAGTTAATCTTCTGACCATCAGCTTGAAATGCATTTATTAAGTGGTGAGTGCTTTGGGGGGGAGTTTATCTTCACTGTTAGTTTATCACGTGAAAGTGTGAATCTGAAAAAATTTAAATGAGCCATATTGATTCAGGCTGAAGATTCATTTGCTCAGTTCTAACTGACATGGTAGGGATGTTCCTCAACTTTAACAGTAAGCATCAGAGAATAGCACAGACCATGTTCCATTTCCAGTAATGGACCTGGCAGCATTAAGAGACCATTGTTGAGGATTCCATATTCTATTTTTCCTCACATTTGCCATGTAACTTTGTTCTTTTCCCAATACAGGTAGTCGTCGACTTACAACAGCAGTTGGGACCAGAATTTCTTTCGCTGAGTGATGCAGTCATACAGCACGACCGCATCACTTAGCGATGGCAATCCCTGCAGTTCTGGTTGCCATTGTTAACTGAATCCCATGGTTGTTAGGTGAGGCACCTTCCTGCTGGTTTCCCGCAACCAAAGTCAGTGGGGAAGATGGCAGGAAGTTGCAAGTCCCAGGCCCACAGGCTGCTGCCGGGGGGTCAGGGAGGGTGCATGTGGGTGCATGAGATATGCCACAAGGGTCAAGGAGGGTGCACAAGGGTGTGGTGCAGGTCAGGGAGGGGGTGCAGGGGTGTGGTGTGGGTCCAGTGCATGGGGATCTAGCATGTGTCAGGGAGGGTGCATGGGGGTGTGCGAGTGGCTAGCATAGCACAAGTGCAGAGGGGCTGGGGAAGGGTGCACCAGTGGGGGAGACTTACTCCAGCAATTTGCAATCTTCCCTGCCGGTTTCCCCTTTGACTTTCTGGGGAAGCCAGCACAGAAAGTTGCAAATGGTGATCATGTGATCATGGGACGCTTGACAACTGGTCATAAGTGCAAACAGGTTACCAAGTGCCCAGATCACAATCATGTGACTGTGGGGGTGCTGGGATGGCCGCAACTTTGAGGACCAGTCACGTGTCTCCTCTTTCAGCACCATTGTAATTTTGAATGGTCACTGAAGAATGGTCATAAGTTGAAAACTATCTGTAATCCTACTTCTTCATTAGAAAGGATGGAAATGCCTGTATGGTTCTTCTTGGCTAAAGACAGATGACTAGGTTCATTTGCTCATTCGTTAGAGCTTGGACAATGAATAATTAAAGCCCTCTCAAAAAACATACCCCAACAGATGCTGTCTATGTCCTCCAAACACAGCAAACACATCAATAATATACTTGGATCACAGCAGAAGACAAATGACCAAGATGAGTAGGCACAGAATTATTTCTCAGAGCAGGTCAGAGTTCCCTTCTGCATTATTCCTATTTTCTTTTATAGAGGTAAGAGGCAGACTATAATGCCCTTAGCTAGATTATTTTGGAAGCCATTACATGACTTAATGATGTCATTCAAAGGAAGTATGTTGAAGCAGTTCTGTAAAATATTATATGCTTTCAGATTTGCTTCATTTCCATTCCTAACACACAGACTGCTATCCCATATGGTTTGACATCATGACCAGGCTGCATGACCCACTAAGTCATCATGCTGTAAGGCCAAATGTGATGCACAAACTCAAGAAACACTTCAGGTTTACAACAAAAGGTTGCACTGTGTCCTCTTCATCTCATCTCCTAACTAGTTTGCTCCTATTCAGTCTTCCCTTGAAAGCATAAGCAGGTTATTCCACTTATCTTTCCATGTTTTTGTTTGATCCAGCTAAGATCTTAACCATCCATAGCTCCTAGAGGCCCCTGAGGATGCAAATGTTAATGTTTTATGAGCAGTTGATACTTTCCCTCCTGTTTCTTGATAGCCCTAGCAATGGTCACCTCAGTTTATTGTTTAAAGAGTCATACTAAACCAAAATTCAGTCTAATCCAATATCCTGAATAGCAGCCTACCCTGCCAAACTCCATTAACAGCAGTTACCACAATAGTAGCGTGGCCATGAAGTTTATCTTCTCTGATTTACTGCTAGGATCTGGAATGTACATTCATACTGCCTCTGTACATGAAGTTCTGTTTAGGAATCAAAGCTATGAGGTACTGGACATTCTGTCCTACATGAATTTATAATTAATAAATCATCAGGGCGAGTGATTATTAATGCATTGTGCAGATGCAGATCCAAAGCCTCCGGAGTAAACAAATTTCTCTTTTATTTAGAGATAGACCTCGCCATAGTTCCTGGTTTTATCCTATTTTTCTGTTGTTAATAAATATCTAATTATGTAGGTAATAATACAACAATAGCATTGAAAAATAAAAAGCAGCAGAATCAATATATCATTTGTTTAATTAACGTTCAGTAAACTTTAATCTGTAGCGTATGCTTCTCAGAGTTTGGAGCAGCATATAGGGTTTAATAATAAATAAAATTATTTAAATGTAATAACTAAGAAAACTAATTGGAAGAGGGTTTGTTTTCCCTGCACATGTAAAGGTTAGACAAGATGGAGCCAGGCAGACCTATCTGGGGAAGGTATTATACAGTGCTGTGTGCCACACAAAAAGGCCCTCGCTCCAGTGACTTATTCATCAATCTGCTGAAAACTGGGACACAAATCAAAACTTCCTAAATTGATCTTGATGTACCAGTAGAATTCACTACAGCATTGGTTCTCAAACTGCATTTGCTGCCAACATAAATTAAACTCTTCTTGTTCCAAATAAATAGTGTATAAATACAAAGTACCTTTTTAAGGTGTCCATAGTTTGTCTGTTTTCCCATAAATACAGAGATTTGAACCATGAAGATTGTGCTAAAATCTGCTTAGAATATTTTCTTTGGGAACAAATATTAATGGAAGACTGCAGCCATATTATTATATTGTGCTTCATTACCAATTTGCTCTCAGCTCTCAACAGCCTCGTAAAGAATATATCTGACTGTATTTACTCCATTTTAGCTGTTGCTCCATGGGACAAAGCAATCACCTAATCTCCATTTATAAATAACAGCTTTAGAATTGTAATCTGGTTTTACACATCAGAGATCACATTCTGCCAATGCTTGTCACAATAATAAAAATGTTCATATTATTAACGTTTTAGAATATGGTTAAAATCTGGGATAAGATTAAGTCAACTATCCCAAGTAGATTTGGGACAGGCAAAATAGTTCTTCATGTATACATAACATATCATGCCTCAAGTTGTTATTTTGAAATTTTCACTGATGAAATTTTCACTGATTGAGGTCACTTTAAAAAGAGTATTAAACACACCATACAATGTTTAAATGGAGTTTCCATATTCAAAGGCATTATATCATTGAATTCGGATCTAGAAGTTAAAGAATGAGGAAGACGTTTTCCTTCACATCCTACTTGTAAGCATCATCATGGACTTCCTGGAGACCTCTGTCTTACCACTGTAGGAAAAGGGGCCTTAATTTATCAAACACGTCTTTCTGAATCTTGGATTTTGCAATGTAAATTCTATTAAAACGGGAGGGCATCAGTTGGGAGCTGTAGCATCTGTGTAGCTCCCTTACAGAACAACTGACATTCGCCCTTACTCAGAAGCAAGAAAACAAACATTCAACTCTTAACTTTAATATATGCAAATTTCTTTATGTCACAAACAATATAATAGACCAGTGTTTCTCAAGCTTGGCAATTTCAAGATACATGGACTTTAATTCCCATGCTGGCTGGGGAATTCTGGGAGTTAAAACCACACAGCGTGAAGTTGCCAAGCTTGAAAAACACTGTAATAGACTAATTATTAAACAACATAAATGTTGACATTGAGTGCAGATTATGGTCATGGAATTCTACACTTTCAATTTTTTTTTCATACTGAATGAAATTTTCTGCAGAAATAAGATTTTAGTCATTCCTCACTAAATCAACTGAAAGACTAGCCAGCAGGTTAGTGAAGTAGAAGACACAGAAAGACAGAAACATTAAAATTGTTGTCCTTTCATTCCTTCAGTTATACAGTACATAGAAATAATGGATAACACTAAGAGTTTACCTGCTCATTTAAAAACGTAATATATAAATTCAAGATTCAGCAGGAAAAAAGCTCTCAATATACCATTTCGCAGAACATAACTCTGAAGAAAGCCATAGCTCACTGCACTTGTTTAATACATTTTTACCATGTCTGTGGATCAAAATTTAAAGCCAGTCCAAAACTGTTCCCATAATATATTCAATAATGCAAGTGTGGGCAACTCTTAGATCAGTGTTTCTCAACCTCAGTACCTTTAAGATGTGTGGACTTCAACTCCCAGATTTCCCCAGGCTGGCCAGGGAATTCTGGGAGTTGAAGTCCATACATCTTAAAGTTGCTGAGGTTGAGAAACACTGCCTTAGATGATGGGGTGGGGTAATCATGCCAAGAGGGTGGGGGGCAGCATTTTATGGAGGGGAGCATTTTGAAGGGAGCTCTGAATTTTTTGAACTACATTCAGCCTATCTCAAGACTTGCCCTGTAGCTTTCGAATATTTCCCAGCTCAAAATGGCAGGAAGTTCCACAAAATTTCGGTAACTGGAGACAGAATCCAATTAGGTGAGACAGTAACATTTTACAACAGAAGGTGGGGGGGGATCTAGATAGTTAAAAAGAGAGAGTTCAGCCACTGTGCATGTGACCAGTTGCCTCTTTGCAGCTCTCACTGCTGCAGTGTGTATGTACCAAAGAGATCACCATTCAGATGGGAGCACCAATCACAATTTCAGAAAGGAATGTAAATCTGCTCAGTGCAGACTAAGCAGTTTCTATCAAATTGCAATTTGTCTTAATGAACTCAGTTCACTTTTTAAAACAACATGATGTGGAAACCTGACATTTCCTGGCAATGTAGAGAGAGTCTGCAAGGAAGATTGGAATCAATATGCGATAGCTGCAATCAAATGTTGCAGTGCATCCCCACATAATACCAAGGAAGTTCCTGATCAGGGTTTCTCCCAGACAATCATGCTCTCGCCATTCCATTCTTTTTCTGTACTCCCCATGCTCTCCAACTGATACCGAACTGTTGCATTCACACTCATTGGTCCGTCTTGACCAATTCTGGGGTCTCTCCACAGATTTTTCCTACGTAACTTTTACATTTACACCAATTTCTGGATTCCAGAGGCCCTACACCTAATAGCACTGGCCACTCAATTTCCCAGATCTGGAAAACAGTAAACAAAACTCCTCAAAGCGCCTTATCTGTCATTTGTGATCTTCCCATTCAATCCTATTTTGTACCTGCAAAGATAGGTACAATTGGCTATTTGGCTATTTTGTACCTGCAAATGCTACATTTGTATTACTCCAGGATGCAAAAGAAAGAGGGCAGTTGAATGGTAAGTATCTTCCTGTGAATCTGTTTTTCTGATGGATATATCTACATTCTCAAACAAACAACTCAATAAGATCTGCTCAAAAGGGATTAAGAAACAACAGGCCACACACAAAGCTCTCATTAAGCCTTTCAGGGAAAAGGTCCTAAATAGGTATGGTGTTGACGTCTTAGAAACGTTTCAGATTTTAAGGCATTTTATTGTTCTTGTTAGAGAATGTCTATACTTTCTTCCTTTTCTCATGGCTTCCCGCACTTTGTTTTTTATTCTTTTAGGATGTCGACTGTTTAATTTGCTGGTCCGTGACCGTAATAAAGATCATCAGGTAATGTTCGTTTCTGGAATCCCTAAAAGATTTCAATAAATGTTTTAGAAATGGTGGATACAGGGCAACAGCAGTTTTATGCAAAATGCTTTATGAGTCAGTTTCTCTCTTCTGGTTGAAATCACTGCAGTTAGGAGAATCATGCACTTTGCCACATGCAAGATAAAAAATCTGAAGAAAATACGTGAGGCATAGAAGTGAACTTGTAGTATCACAATGATTAAATCATATTTCTTAGTATGAAGTGTATGTTCTCATTTTTTTTTCTTGTCTACAATACATGGAAACATAACCAGACCTTAAACATCTCAAAGCAGTGGCACCAAGAGGTAAAGTGTGATTAATTAGTTGGTTTGTTAAATACATTAATTCAAATAATATCCTTGAATTTCTTCCCCTTCCCTTGAGGGGAAATTATTTCCAGATTTGAAATAGGATTCACAAAAAATTGTACCACTTCTGAGTGATCCTATGCATATATAATGCTCATTGAATTAGTTCAGTGCATATGATCAAACATGGTTGTTCTAAAATAATGATGAAACAGACACAGGCAAAGACAGGATATATTAAACCTAAAACAGAGAATCATGGACACAAAGGAATACTTTAAAGTAGGTTTTATAAGGGATACTGTTTTTCATTTCCCAGCAAGGTTAACTAGTTGCCTAGATACCAAATGCAGAAGTTTTCCAGTTTTCTTACCCATCTACTTTGGTGATTTCCATGTACAAATAAGATTCCCTACTTTTATCAGATGCCTCACTCATTTCAGTTTTTTCTGTATAGTGAATGGTGCATATATAAGCCATACATCACCTTCATGTTAGCTTTCAGGTATCAGCTGGGACAACTTTATAATGTCTTCTTGTTTGAACTACATAGTGGCATTCCTTTTCACATTATTCATCATTTGTTAGCTATTATTATGATACCCAGAACATTATTATTATGATACCCAGGGCAAAGGAGGGAGCGTCTGAGCAGTGAATTTAGCATTCTCAAGAAAACCCAAGCTATGAGCTATTTCACTCCCTTGAATAATGAAGCTCAGTTAAAACAATCATGGGACCATTGCCTGAAATGCATACATGTATCCAAGCTGCCTCTGAAAACAGTTGTGCAATTTATAAATCCTGAACATGTGGCAGGTTTGTGGGAGGGTTGGCCAGCTTCAAATTCACTGCCTTGTTGTTTTCCATGGCCAGGGCAGGCTTTATGAAAAATGAAGAGCCAGTGACAGCACCTTTATTGTCCCATTGTCTGATTAACTAGAATAACAAGGATTTTACCACACTAGCTCCAGAACTATTGTAGAATTTTGCCTCTGCTTGAAGCATGTTGGGGGACAGGGCTGCCACAATGATGTGCAAATTGTGCGCCATACAAGGGTATTGCATGAGGGGTGGCACCAGCTACAAATTAAAAAAAAAAAAGCTAAGTGGCATAGTTGTATAGAAAGAGAAAGGTACAGTATTTTTAACATTCTAAAAACTGGGGGAGTGGGGCCTGGGAGGGGACACAAGGTAGAAATCTGCACAAGGGTGCCTTGTATGCCAGTAGTGGGCCTGGTTGGGGATATGAAGGGCTTAGGATGAAATACTTCTGTGGCGCACACAAATGCCCTATATGACCAAGAATGTTTTCTTGATCATATATATTAACATAAATATGGGTCCACCTTTATCATTTCTCCACTAAATGTCCTCACTGTGGTTTTGTGAGGAAGTTGATAATTAGAGAAGCCTTAAAGATGCATTTGGTTGCTAACTAAAATACCAGTTCAAAATGTTAGGTATCTTAGCAGTGGTCATGCTGGCTAAACCATTACGTTCAAAAGGTTAATAATAGGTAAGCTAGTTTAGCAATAGTTATTCAGGGACCATAAAAAGGAACAAAACTTCAAACCATAGAATTAAACCCTTCGGAAACATGAATTATTTCTATTTACGGAAAAGAATAAAGGGAAAGAATCTATAAAATTGTAGTGGAAACTGGAATTCAAGGAAGGGAAAAAAGATGGAGATGGGAAGAATTCAGGAGGAAATGAAGGAACGCTGATTGTTACCCCTTCCGGTGAATACCAGTCTCTTACGTTTCTATCCAGTCCTCTGCTTCCTCTTTTTGCCTTTGGCTTTGGTCATCAAGTAGAAGTCAATAGCCTTAAAATGAAATTTTAACAATGGTAAGAGGCTGCGAGATGTAGAAGAAGTAGGACCCCATGGTTGCTAGTTGGATTTAACTTCATTCCATCTCTTCCTCCCCTTTCCCTTAATTCTTTAAATTAATTTTGTGTCTTCAAGTCAGCATTGACTCCTGGTGGTTGTCTGGACAAGTCCCTGTAATTTTATTGCCAACATTTTCAGAAGTGGTTTGCCCTTGCCTCCTTCTTCCTAGGGGTGAGACAGAGTGACTGTCCTAAAGCCCCCAGCTGGCTTCATGCCTAAGGCAGAACTAGAATTCATAGTCACCTGGTTTCTACCTTGTGCCTTTAGCCATTACACCAAACTGACTTTCTTCTTTGGATTAGGAGATGTGAATTTATAAATAATAACCAATTTTATTGTAAGGATTTAGTTTAAAGCACTTAATCTGCTTTGATTGTAATTTCTTTGTTTGATTATTGTGGGCCACCCAGAGTCACTGAGAATCAGGCAGCATACAAGAGGAGATGATGATGATGATGATGATGATGATGATGATGATGATGATGATGATGATGATGATGATGGAAGAGGAAGAGGAAGAGGAAGAGGAAGAACCACCTATCCCA